GGTGGGGGCGTGCCGCCCGCGCGCGCGGCGCCGCCGCGCCGGTGCACGCTGCCGCCGCCGCCGCTGCTGCTGCCGGGCGCGTCTGAAGGGGCCGCGCACGGCGGCGAACCGGCCTCAGGGCCTACCTCTACGCCGCTGCTGCCTGGCACAGAAGACGGCGTGCCGCGCTCCTCCGCCCCCGAACCGCTGGCGGCAGCACCCTGCGCCTCCCGCTCCCTGGCGCGCCGCGGCTGCCGCCGCCGCGAGGGCGGAGAGCCCCCCTGCGCGTCCACGGCCGCCGCGCGCCCAAACTCCTGGCCGCCGCCGCTCCCGCTGCTCCCGCCGTGCGCGCCCCGTCCTGACGTGCCCGCCGCGGCGCCTGCCGCATGAGGGGCAGGCGGCCCAGCAGCAGCGCGCCGCTCAGCATGCGCCCGCGCCGCCCCGCCACACTGCAGCGCACCACCAGCGATCCGTCCAGCCCCCCTCGCGGCCCGCATTACTACAGCACGCACACCACACCCAGCCGCCCTTCGTCCCAATGCCAACCGGCCCGCCCAACAGGCCGCCGCCCCAGGGGCATCCCGCGTCCCGCTCACCCAACCGCCGCAGCGCGCCCAGCACCGTCTCCCCGGCCATCAGCAGCTCAGCTATCCGCCGCTTGTGCGCCGCCACCGCCCCCGCGCCCAGCGCCGCGGCGCCGTCCGCGTCGGCCTCGCGCGCGGCGGCGGCGGCGGCCTTGGCGCGCAGGCGGCGCAGGAGCGCGTCGTCTAACTCAACAGGGCCGGCCTTTTTGGGGGAGGGGGGAGGAGGGTGCCGGGGGGTGGTTAGTGGGTAAGGGCTGGACTAGCGCTGGTCAGAAGGCACAGCCTGGTCGCTGTTGACGCTGGCACTGCGAACCGCGGGCAATGCAGGTGGGGGGCCGGGCGAGTGGGCTACGGAGGCGGGAGGGAGGGGAAGTGATGTCAGCTGACGCATGCAGGGGGAACGGGTGGATTCACATGGGGTGAATAGGGACGGACCAAGACGGATGAGCGTGAAGGATTGGGTGAGGTGGGATCGGGCGGGTGCCTCTCACCCCCAGGCTCTCCAGCCACGCGTCATCGGGCACGTCGCGGCGGTACTGGATGTAGTTACCCTGCGGGTGACACGGCGGGTGGGGTGGCTGGGGTGACACGGAGCACGGCGCAGGGGGGTTCCTGCGAAAGCCCCCCAGGAATTTCAACAAACGACAAACATTGATCTGGGGATGCGCCGGCAGGGCATGTTTCGAACAGCAGCACGAGGCGAAAAGAGGCGCAGGCGGTGGCATCAGTGGAGACACCCGGCCGCCGCGGCGCCCGAGGCTCGAGGCGCGGCGCATAGCGGGGCACGGCGCCGCTTGGTCCCCCTGTTCTGCGCCCCGGCGGTCGCGCTGCCGGGAGGGAGGGGCGCGCCGCACCTCTGCATCGAAGTAGCCCTCCTCGCGCTCGCGCTTCAGGTGGAAGGGCTCGATGGGGATGCCGGCATCATTGTACAGCTGGGTGGAGGGGTGCGTGTGGTGGGGGCCAAGTGAGTGTGCGTGCGTGTGTGAGTGCGTGTGTGTGTGTGTGTGTGTGTGTGTGTGTGTGTGTGTGTGTGTGTGTGTGCGCGTGCGTGTGCGTGTTCGCATTGGTCCGAGAACGTGGCAAGTGAGCCACGCCTCAGCAAGGGGGCTCCGCTCCAAAGCAGGCGCCGCAGAGCGGTTGCCTGCATCACGTGTGGGGACCTGTGGTGTCCGCCTCAGCTAGAGCGAAGGGCGCGGCAGCACACAGGCGGGACAGCGGGCGCCGCGCCGCACCTCCTCTGGGCTGTCGTACGCCTCCTCTGCCGCCTCTATGTCCTCCATCACGCTCTTGTCCTCGGCCTCACGCATGCCCAGCGCCGCGCTGGCCTCACCGCCGCAGCGCTGGGGCCGCTCGCCTGGGAGCGGGGCGGGGGGGGGGGGGGCAGCATGTTATTCCTGAGCTGATTTGGCATGGGCCACGCGCACCGCAATGGTGGTGCGCGCCGAGTGTTGGGGGGTGGGCCGAGCGCCTGATTGCCCACAGCTCCACAGCTGAGCTCAACTGGGGCCGCCAAGGTAAGGCGCACATCGGAGCGCACCTTCGCCGTCGCCCTCTGGTGCCTCGCCTTCGTTATCGCGGCTCTCGACATGCACCACGTCATGCTCCTCAGCAAAGCGTACTTTCTTTCGCCTGGGCTCTGTAGCGTCCTCCATGCCTCAGGATCTCGCCTAGCGACCGGCTGAGCTTGGAGTGAACTGTATAGGTTATGAAGACAAGTTATTCTCCGTTTCAGAAGGTCATAGACACATTTACGCCCCTCGGCCAGCTGCTGGAAGCTGATCTTTGCTGAGGTACGTCCGGATCCGTATCGCTTGAGAAATATCAATCCAAAGCTAACGATGATACGATCTCAGCTCGAGCAGAACGAAGGCGCGCTGACCCTGGTGCAGAGGCACTCGTCACCCGCTCTGCTGGCAGTGGTCGGTGCGGTGCCGCCTGAGCCGCTGCATTTGCCGCAGGATGCTTCATCCGCTATCGTGACACAGCTGTTGAGCAAGCGCAGTGCTTCCATACGAAGACACCTCTGTGCTCATAGCCCTGGTACATGGATTGGGCGGGCTGTTTGTACAGGCTGTTCATACAACAGCCACAAGCCGTCAACTTTACTGCCAGACTGTCAGTGCCCAGTGTCAACGGGCCTGTGCCCAGTGTTGTAGGGTGGCTTCTCCAAAGGCATCCAAAACAGGGTGTGTTGTGCAGCCCTGTCCCCTCCCTGCTTGATGGAACAGGCGGCCCCCACTGAACGCCTGGTGTGGCGTCATTGCTTCTCGCAGCTTTGCGGGGATATCTTCCGTGCAGCGTTTGCCGTGCGGCGATTGTCCCGCTTGCGAAGACAGACTGGTCGCATGCGCTCAAGACAACAACCCAAGCGGCGCTAGACTACGGTGTAAAAATGCATGCCAACATCACGCGCGCCACACGCCGCCCTTTGCATCCAGAAGTGAACACCAGGGGTCAGGCCCATCCGCAGCGTGCATTCTATTTCATCATGACAAGTCGAGAGAGGTAGAGTGTGTCCACGCAGCCATCGGCTTGTGTTGATTTGCACCTGACAAATCCCTACCTAGGAATTATTTGCAAGTATAGCTTCAGAGGTATCTTAATCTTGATCGGACCATCTCACGGCAGGGGCAGGCTGCGGCACATCCGGACACGAGGGACCCCAGGCCTCCCACGCAGTTGTGCAGACAATGAGCTGTTTGGTAGAGGTCATGACATGCGATTGTCACCAATGCTGGTCAAGCTTATTGCTGATCCAGCCTAAGTGTTCCGGCATCAACGCTGCACACGGCCAGCCCGCTCGGAGGCCTCAACCGGCTGCGCGACACGCGCACGCACACACGTGCGTGTGCACGCGCGCGCGCACGCACGCACGCACGCATGCACGCACACACTCTAGATGGAGGCTACTGAGAGCCGCTTCTGTGCTGGCCCTGGGCAACAGCGTGGCGCCTGCGAGGGTCTTAGGGCTCTTCCGTGGCTGCGGACCACCACGGAGCAGCTGCTGCCCCACAGCAGCCTTGTCATCGCTGCGACCTCAGGCGCCGTGGCCGCATAAGCAAATTAATAGTGGGGGGGCGATCCGTCTCGGTTGAGCTGTGTCTGGCTTTGGGCTTGAGTGGTTTGCCAGCGCACCCGCAAAGCGGGCGCCTGGCCTTAGTGAGCGCTAATACGGCTTTTGGCCTGGCCGCGTGGATGAATTGCCCAATGGAGTTTCTGTGCTGAGAGCTTACGCGGCCTGCAACTGACGCAACACGCGTGCGGACAAGGGGTAAGGGCTGCTTTTGCAGGGTCACGTAGCTGGAGTGCTTGTGGGTTTGCCGTGGCTGCCCATGGTGTTACAACTGTGAAGCTGTTAGTGTACAGTGCAGACAAGTCGTAATGCAAACGGGGTGCTTCGGGGGGCCAAGGTGCACGGCGATTGATGCTGATTGGGCAGCACTTATTTCATTGCAAGGGCGCCGGGGGGTGAGCGCTTTGTGGGGGGCACAGTTGCAAATGATGAATGAGGTGAGAACAGACAATCCCCTACCCAACTGCAGCTTTGAACTGCGGTTGTTTGCCTGCGGCAGCTGCAAGGGTTGGGCGCTTTGCGCGGCAGTGGCGGGTGAGTAATCTTTTTGGGGGCCGGCCGGCCACCAGAGTCGGCACTCACCTGTGGGTGGGTGGCCGGCCGGCCCAACAAGTGCTGGCCCCCCCTGGCCCCTGGCAGGGGTCGCAGGGCGGCTCACCCACCTTTGACCCTTGAGTCGTAGCCCGTAGTCCTCCCCCTCCTCCTTCACGCCGCGGCGCTAGCGCCGGCCCCGCCGCCCTTGGACCGCGTCCGCGCGGAGACGGGCTGCGCCGCCTCCGCCCGCGCGCGAAGCTGGCGGCGCGTCCGCGCCGCGACCGGCTCCGGCGCGGCGCGAGGCGCCCGCGGCGCGCGGGTCTTGGGGCGACCCGCGGCTGCCACAGCGGCGCCACCAATTGGAGGCCGGCCCGCCGAGAGGCCGGCGCCGACGCCGCCGATGCCGCCGCCGACGCTGCTGTTGCCGCCGCCGCCGATACTGCCGCCGCCGATGCCGCCGCTGCTGTTGCCGCCGCCGCTGCCGCTGCCGCCCTCATTGCTGCCGCTGCCGCTGTCGTCGCCGCCGCCGCTGTCGCTGCCGCTGCCGCTGCTAGCGGCGGCAAAGACATCGCCGCCGATCCAGCAGCAGCAGCCCTCGGCGCCGAACCTGGCAAAGGTGAAGTCAAAGGCGGGCCAACCCTCGGCGCCGCTCCCGGCGCTGGCGCCCGGCGCGGCGCTGATGGCCACCTGCTCGTCCGCCACGGCGGCGCAGGCGCCACCGGCTGTGGGGGCCGGGAACACCTCCAGGTCCAGGGGGGCGCCCATGAAGAGGGACAGGGAGCCGCCGCCGACCACGCTGCCCAGGCCGCTGGGGCCCGCCGCCGCCGCAAAGCTGAAGGGCTCCTCGGGCGCCTGCCGCCAGGCGTTGAAGGGCGCCTCGCCGGCGGCGGCGAAGAAGGCGTCGATTTCGTCGGCAAACGCGGCGTCGTACGCGCCGGGCGCGGCGCTGATGCTGTCCTGCTCGTCCACCACGACGGGGCAGTCGGGCTGCGGCGCGGGGGCGCCGCCGGCACCGCCGGCGCCGTCGTTGCTGCCGCAGTCAAAGGGGATTGGCCCCAGCAGCAGGCCGCCGTCGTCGTAGCACAGCTCGTCGTCACTGAAGCCGGCGCTCAGCAGCCGCGCGCGGTGGCGCTCGTTGAAGTAGGCTAGGTCCTCCTTGCTGCTGAAGTCGCCGCCGCCGCTGGGGCCGCCGGGTGTGTCGGCGATGCCGCAGGAGGGCACCTGCGGGGAGAGCCGTGCAAACCAGGACCTGGGCAGCGGCAGCGAGGGCTCGTCGGTGGAGTCGGCGCTGCTGCTGCTGCTGCTGCTGGCACCAAACAGGTCTTTGGAGCTCATGGTGCAGTTATCATCAAAGCAGCTGCTGCCAGAGGCCACGGAGGCCTCGCAGGGGGTGATCGGGTCCCGCAGTGCATCGTGGGCGTCAAAGCAGGGGGTGCCGGTGGCATAGTGGCGAAAGCCACTGTTGTTGAAGAGATCGCAGAGGGCCATGATGGTGGCGAACTCGATCGTAGGGGACCAGCGTCGTGTTGCCACGCGATGATCTTGTTGGGTTGCAGGTTGACTGCTTGCGGGAGGCTTTGGGTCCTTCCAGGTAAACTGAAAGTGAACGATGTTATGGAGGGGGTGCGCTAAATAGGGCCGGGGCGGGATCTGAGCGGTCTCATTGCGGTTTGACCAAAACTCGAACTCTCAGATCGGGGGTGTTCGCGTCTTCGTGGGCTGCTGAAAGCTAATAAAGCACTCTTCAGGGTTGAGGGGTCACCGTCGAGGATTGTTGGGCTCTGGATGATCTGGGCGCAGCGGCTGACGTGGCGCGTCGCTGCGGGCGGTGGCGCGCAGGCGTACAAATCACCCGTGTGTTTGGTATCCTCAGTGTACGGTACCATTGGGTACATCTGTGAACATGCGGTATCGCTGCACACCCCTGCTGTGTGCAATCACAATCGCCACCGACTGTGCCGTAGAGCAGACTGCTTTGTGCTTTCGTGGTCCGTCTTGCACCCGCGCTGCATTCCCTGTGCCTTGCTGCTCGCTGTGAACCTATGGAGAAAACTGTGCAAGTTTAAAATTTGCAGCACACTTAAACCACACACACTGCCTGTCAAACCCTAACCAGGCGCTTGCCGTTGTGGACGCCGGGCACAAAATAGCTCAAGAGAGGTTGAACCCCAGCTGTTTGCCTTTGTAAGGTTTGAGGAAGGTTAAGGCTGCAGCCAGCTGCCTGCGTCAAGTGTGCCAGTGACGTGGCCTTCCTCATAGCCAGCACATTACCCTGACCGCCCTGCCAGGCCTCAGCAGGGCTGCCGCAGCGGCTCATCAGTGCCTTCTGACGGCTGGCATGCTTGCCCAGGGGGTCGCACACCCTGGCATTTACAAGTGCGGGTATCCTACCAAGCCGGCGCCAAGTCACACCCAACCGATCCTGCTCGCTTGGTGGTGCAAGGCCTCGCCCACCCACTCCGGTCGGCAAGCAGCAGCACCTTTGTCGCGTGCAGTGCAACGCTGACTGCTGCACCGTCATTGACCTTTGTGCCCTGCTGACATTCCTTTGTACAGGCTCCGCCTGCGTTGCACGTGACAATTTACTGCCTGCAGCGAATTCACAGAAACCGGCTCTTGCAGGGGCAAGCAACAGCGCACAATTTGCGCGTGCAAGAAAAAAGGGAGCGGGGACCAGGTCGCGGCTGGGCATTGCGCAGCGGCTCATAGACGCCGGGCGCCATAACAGCCGCACAATCGCCGCGGTTTCGACCAACGACACCACAAATCGAGGAGCCCAGCAACCGCATGTCTCCAGCCGCGGCCAGCTCTCGACAATCCAACAGCAGCACATGATAAGTTCAGCCCCACAGGGCGCGTTGATGTTGTTTGAGCGCAGGGCACACCCCATGCAGCGGGGAGATGGGACCGAAGGGTGCGGTACATGCCGGTGTTGCTGACGCGTACCGCCCCAGGAAGCGGGCGCTGTGCAGTAGATGTGTGCGGCAGAGACTGAGATCCCTCCAAACGCACTGGCCGAAAACAAACGTAGCAGATCCGCTATGAGATGCGACTGAGGAGGCGGGGCCACGCGGCGACAGAGGGCGGGCGGCGTGCATGACAGAATGGCGCTGCCGGGCGGTGAGGTACAGTGTTTCGCCTTGCGTTGCATGCGCAGGGGCGGTGCGCGCGCGCATGCTTCTGCAGCAGCAGCACCCCTGCACCTGGCCTGCGGATGCAAACAGAGACGTGCCACGACATGCAAACGGGGGAACTCACGTGCAGCTGGGGTCCAAAATCAACCAAACCCTCCTCGTTCCCATTCGAAAGGGCTCAAACCACAAACCTTGCTGGAGACTACAAAAGACAAACCCAAACCCAAACCCAGCTTTCAACGGCCCAACTTGAGCGGAAGGGTCGTGCAGAGGCGTGTGCCCATTCAAGGCCCGACCACGGCAGCGGCAGATGCCGGCTATTGGCACCCCGCCGCAACGGCCGCCGCTTCGCAGTACCATACTCACAACACGGAACACAGGAGAACGAGAAATCCTCAATGGAGCTATCGGTGGCGCTGGAAACAGCCCGTGGGCGCCGCACGCCCGTGGGAGCCACCCGGTCACACCGCGGGGACCACTGGGCCGACGCAGAATCAGGCGCCCGTTCTTGCAGGAAAGTGCACTCCCGACGGCTCCGCCCTACTGCTCTACCAAAACCTTGCTGCCGCCGTCGCCGCCGCCCGCCGCCAGCAGCCCGCCCGCGACCCCGCCCAGCTGCGGCGCGGGCGCTGCGTCGTGCCCATCCTGCGGCGCCTCGAGCGGCGGGAGCGCGGCGAGCGCCGCGGCAGCGGCCGCGGCCACAGCGCTGCTCGATGCGCCGG